CAAAGCTTAGCAGGCTTAGCTAATGAGCGTATAGGTCATGCTCTTGGCTTAGTGCTGCCCGCAGTTCGGCGTTCGTTTCGTCATTCACACCTACTTAAATTGAGCTCAGCTCGACTATCGTTTCATTTAAAAAGCAATTAAGCAACAGCAAAGGTGAAAGATAAGTCTTTAAGCCTAGTCAGACAACGTGGGTCTTCCCAGAATAGAATGTGCTCATCATACATCATTTTTGAATAGTTAACTTGTCGCATAATTGCAAGGCAATCGACTCGACTCGTCGGCTTATCTAAGCAGAAAGTATTGTTGTGGGCGTGGCCAGGTCAGCTGTGAGTCAGACGCTTTTTCGATGCCTGTCGATGCTTGCGAATAGTTAAATATTCGTTTTCCTTTACCATTAGTCGTTCTTTGGCTAACGGCAGTTCGCACCTAAGCTAACAACAGAAATAACCACAAGACTGGGCCAACAACTTACGGCAACAATATTGAGTTATCGCCTTGCTGTAAATTGTCAGTGGCTAGCCACGTTTGTCGACTTGCCGAGCGTGAATGAATAGAATAGAGCGTTAGCATTGGCTTTCAGTCAACTATCCAAGCCATGAAAACGGTAGGCGTTAACGAGGTCATTAACATTTGAGGCGAAGTTCAACGCGAGTTACACAATTGTCCAAATGATTGCCCGTTTTTGTTTCTTTTTTCGATTTGGAATTCATGTCGAACCAGTTGGCTGTCTGCAACGCCTGCGACAGCGTCTGCATTTGTCCACTTTACTTTCTCCTTAAATGTAGAAGACAGGCTCACAACAGCCTTAAGTGCAATGCCGAGTTGATTTCCTGCTGCAACTGGCGCTGCTCAACGTGCCCCGCACTGAAACTGGGCTGCATCTGCCGCGTGACTTGCTAGAAATCCGGTTCGTGCAAATGTTATAAAATGAAGACATAATTGTTACTATAGAGAGCACAGCCAACAGGTAGTTGCACAGATAACACAGCGACCGATCGCACTGTCGGCTGCCGCTGCTGCATGCCGTATTTGTGTCAAGGCTGCAGCAGCTCACTTTGCGGTTGATCATTTGCATGCACTTTCTGCACCCCCAGCACACAAATGAGCCACAAATCGTGGCTGTCGATGCGGTGGGCGTGCTGCTTGGAAATTGGAAAGCGCCCAAATGGAGATCGAGGTCTTGCGATAAAGAGGCTTTGTGCTGCGTACTAATGAGCGGTGGCCCTTAATATATATCATTTAATTGGCCGGTTTCTCAGCTACAAAAACGAACTGCTGTTGCTTTTGTTACATAAAACATCTTACAATTGAAGACAGCAGCAGTCGCAGCAGCCACTGCAGCCGCTGCCTAAATTGTGATAACTTTTTGAGCTGTATTTGTACTTGAATCAGTCTGTGCCTCGTTTTGGGCATGTGCTTTGCTACAATTACTTGTATACTGGCAATTCCTTGTCTTCCCTCTCCTTTAACCAAAGCCAACCACGTGACGGCGCCTGACATTGATGGGCTTTGCGGCACTTTGGCTGAGTGCTCGATTTTCAAAGTGAATGTTGGGCCAACATTCACTTTTGATTTACAGATCTTTGAAATTGTATTTCAACTGATGATGCGCCATAATATACGACATTATGTTAAATTAACCGAAATTATTTCGCTTTCAAAAAATATTATGCTCAAGCTGCCCACATAATGGGTTATTTTTGGCATTTGTTTATATACATTGGACATTTAATTGACTTTTAGCATTTGCTTTTCTTTTGGCGATCTATTAACGATGCTCAGCGCGTAACAAATGAAAGTTAAGTGTGCGAAAGAAATAAATTAAAGCTTGGTTAAGTAAGCATAGCAAACACTGATAACGGACGACACCAGCCGAAGTCGCCTCATAAGTTTAACTACACTTCTTCTTCGGCTTAACTCGAAGTACTTGTGTCTCTCAACTTGCGCAGTAATCACCCATGAAATTGCAATTCATAGTTGTCTGTGCTAATCCCGCTCGCAGTGTAGAAATTTCCCTATTTTCTAAGATGTACGGCCAAATCTGCTGAATCACAGGTGAGAAAGTGTTACAAATAACTGTGACAAGTGATTGTTATTTATATGCTCGTGTCAACGGGTCGTATACTAGATGCTTGTGTACCTGAGCTAGCTACCAACCGTGAGAACCGAAAGTGAAATGTCTGTTTTTTTGGCGGATCTCTTGGTCCACATATTTCAATACAACGCAGTTTTTTTGCGCTTATCAGTCAAGAGCGTATAGAAAAGCCAGCCGTCGGCATTAATTAATATGCAGTAGCTGTCGGCGATCGTGAGGCAGAATGAAGCGCCACGGATCGACAATAACAAAGTCTTATAGATCGTGAGATCCAAACTAACCCAAATATCTTGCGCAGGGTTTTGTTTGGTTTTTTTTTATTTTTTTCATGTGCGCTTGTCAAAATGATGTGGCAATTGAAAGCAAAACTATGCAGCATGTTGCAGCGCCCAACAACTAAAATCAGATGCAGCTACTCGCTGGAAAACTATTTTAACAAAGCGCTGTGCTAAATGCTGCATGTTGGCATGCTGAGGAGCTACGCAATAGCCAAATACACAAATCCAAATATCCGAATTCAAATCCAAATCCAAATACTATACAAATGCTCCAATGCTCAAGCGATAATCACCCGCTCATTTGTAGGCAGACCAAGTGAAGTGGCTCTTGCATCATACGTACTCAAATTGATGATGATGATGATGACGATGTGCCAATTGCTAGACATTTGAAGTCGGAGCGGCAATTGCTGAGTTATTGAATTCATGCAACAATTTGGTAATTGTTGAAAACAAATGCTTGAGCAGTGGCGAAAGGCGTTGCCATAAGTGAGCAGCGAGTGTCCAAGCATATTTGTCCGTAGGTGTCGCATGAGGATGCCTGACTGCCAAGCCAGATTAGGCTAAGAAAGTCAAGGCAGTTTACTTGCAGGCCGATATCAACGTTCAGCATCAAATGCAAAAGTTGTTTTTATTTGATTTATGCATTCACAATCGATCGCGGCTTTGAATCGCAGCTTGTTTCGCATTGAGCTTTGCACTCCATAAAATGCCAGCATTTTGGTCAAAGAGCTGGCATTGAAAGTAGCTGCAGAAATAATATTTGACTGGCCGCTAAGCACTGCAATTTGTTTGCAATTAGCAGAAACACTGCGAGTTATAAATCGGCAAAGGCGTTAGCCTGTTCAACTAATAAGCTGTTGCCCGCAGATCGCCTACTTAGTTATCAGGGGCTGTGCAGCTGTGCAACGCAGCGTATGAGCAACAAAGATCAATGGGTGCTGCAACAGCTGCCGCTGCCGTTGCTGCTGTCGCTGCTGCGCTTTGGCCTGCCTGCGCGTTACATTCTAATCGAATAAATTCGATATTTAAGTCCATAAACTGCACGTAAGCCATGTCTGATGCTTATCTGCTGCCAAGCGCTTGCGTGCAAAACTCTGTTGGGTGATATATCAAACCCTTCACAAGATGTCGTCGAGTCCACAAAATTGAAAAGTTCCCGATTGCCATTTTTTTGGGTCAATTTAAAGTAAAGCAACTTGAGCCAGCTTATTAGCCCATTGCATGAATCTATTAAACGTGTTTGTCGCCGCTCAAGTGGTCGATTTACAGCACAATAAAAAGAGCGACACTACATAAATGCCACATAAATGCGCTTCGTGTTGCAATTGGCCAACTGCTTATTAAGTATGCGCCATGTGTGCACTATTGATTTGATGTTTTTCACAGTTGCGAACGGATGTGAATACATGACAGTGGCCCGGCCAGAGCCTGCTCGAGTCAGTCTCGATTCTGGCCAGAGCGAGATTCACTTCGACTTGAGCAATTGGCCAACGCAACAGCAGCACAGCAACCGCGCACAATATTGAGAAAAACTAAATGCGACAATTAAAACGTCATGAATTCGACATTAGCAATCGAATAGAAATAAGACCCAATTACATATGTCTAGGTTTTTATTGCAGCTCACGCGTTGAGTTTCATATTTATGAATGACTTCCAATTATTACACAATTCCAATACTGCAAAGTCAAGTGCCTTTAACACAATCAATTACAATTTAAAATTGCAAATTGCGAAGCTTATGGAAAGACATGTTTTAAAATCTTTATTATAATTTAATTTTTATAATTAATTAACACATTCATGACTGAAGTATTCAGATATATGTAACAACCATACAGATAGACATCCGGAAGTGAAGGAACTCAGATACAGATACAACCTTGTCGATCTAGCCAGATCCGTTTCTTCTTTTGTCAGTCAAACTGTCAGCCAGCTCACAACTTTAATATTGTAGAGACAGAGTATGTCCTCTCACCTTATGTGGAGTAACTAAACTGGATTTGTTTTTTTATTTTTATAAGTAATTAAGCAGCCAGATTATACGATTGTAGAAGTTTAAGGACAGTCGCTACTTAAATTATAAATACTTATCTATATGTATATATACTTAAACATATTGTGAAAGAAAAAGAAGTCTTCAAAATGGGTTGTGTTGTAAAAGACTAATCCGATTGCTGATCATGTATGTCTCCACATCTGTTATTTGATTGCATAATAGGCACATATGTGCATATATAATGACGGCAGACTAAAACACACTTGCCACTTAAGTATTCTTGGTTTCAACATTTTAAGATTGTGTTTCAGTAGGCAGCTCATTTAAGTTTAAAAGTCTTATTGTGCATAAGCTTAATATGTTATTTGAGGTATTTTAATCGGGGAAAATTATGCGCATTTCAAAACTTTGCAAAGAGAAGGGAATCTGGAGGGTGCAAGCAATTTACATATAAATCCGAAAGACAATGCTGTGCGATGTGGTAAGCACCTAAAGCCGCAGTAAGCGCGAAAAAAGAGTCCACATGAGCCCAACAAAAGGTCCTATGCACTTGGCGCGCCCCTGGGTCTGGGCGGTGTGCAGTGTTAAGTCTTACATGAATGCCAGCCAGCTGAGCCATGAGATGACATAACCAAGAGGCGGCGGGCATCGTGCGATGCAAATGCACAGCATCATGCAACATCCAGCAATGCCACAACAATGGGACAGCAACAACAATGCAACCGGCAATTAACGTAACTCTGGTAAAAATTATTAACAAATGTCAACTGTGGACGCGCTTTTAATATGCGCAGATTAATAGCTTCCATTTCAGGGCACACAACAGAGAGTTGAGTTCAGCATTTTTTGGTTTTTTTTTCGTATTATTGTTGAATGTTGAAAGTCGAGTGCGGAGCATCGTTAGCAGACAGATATTGTTAACGGATTGTATGTGCCCCTAATTCGTTATGGCTTTAGCCCGGCTGCTACTCACAAAGCTGACAAAAAAGGTCGCCCGATTTTTGGGCATATACTCAAAGAGGACAGCAGTGGCGGCCCAAGTCTAAATATGGTCACATAGTTGCCACAATATGGGCTAAGCTGGCCAAGAGTTCAGCGCAATGCAAATGCGTTGATTCGTTAGATAAGTTGCAGTTACAATTTAACATATATATGTATAAATATATATGCACGTATAAGATAGGTATGCGCGTATATCGAAAGCTGTTAGCCGCAGCAGCCTAAAAATTAATTGGCTCTTGCGGGCAGGTGTAAAACTTGACGCTGCGTGAATATGCAAAAAATATTGTCGTTTTGTTTGGCTCTTGGCCAGAAGGACGTTGGCTATTTTTTGTTTTTGTTTTTTCTGAGTTTTTTTATTTTGTATTATGTGTGCGTGAACGCCTTTCACAAAAGCTGTCGCCCCAATGGCGAGCAACAATTAATTGACTTACGCAGTAGCAGGCTGCATGCAATCAGCTCGCAGCAGCTCAATTTTGAGAGGCGTGTCCAATTGGAATTTAGCTAGGCAATCGCTGCGTGGGCGCCTGGGCCTATTGCTGCGTTCTAATTGCCTTGGCATGACGGCTTATAAGCCAAACAACTTACAGACCATTTAATTACCAACACTGCACGCTTTTCGCATTTAACGGCTTATAATTTCAAAATGCTGCCTTGAACCATTTTGATTTGTGTACCTTTTCAAATGTTTTAATATTTCTTTTTTATTTATTTTTGCAAGTGAAGTGTAGCTTCGAATAAAATCTCGTGAGATGAAGCGCTCGCATTACTTGTAACTCTTAAGCCAGAAAAGGCGAGGTCTCACAGTGGTCAAATGTTAGCTAAAATATGTGTTAAAAATGTGGGCAGGGCAAGTTAAATAATTATAGGCAAATCAACAGAAGATAATGAAGAAATTAAATCTTCAAAAAAGATTAAGCAAATGGCATAGAAATTCCTTGACCTGAAGTCTTTATTTTCAACCAATTGCTTTATGAGCCACTTGGCACGTGACTAAGTTTAACAATTTGTAAACAGATTTCAAGATTTGATGGATCTAGAAAAACTAACAATTTTATAGCGTGTCACTCTAGTTCGATAGTAGCAATAACTAATATTTCTGTTTAGATTTGTTGGTTTTAAGATATTGTTGTTAGCTCGAAGTTGAATTTTGAAACTATTAGTAAATGAGCTTAGATATATTTTCTTACTTTTGCCATAGCTGTAAAATGATCCGATTAGACCAACTGTGACATATACACTAAATTCGAAAAAAATGAAATCCATGATTAAATCTTCCATGATTAATTAAATCTTAAGCAGAGGAAATAAATTACATAGAAGCACACGGAGTGCAAGTATATATGTATACGTCGGGGATGGGCGTGATCTGATGCATCACCAGTAGGGATTTATTTTATTTAATCACGCTTAAAACGCAGAGAATCTCAATTTTGTATGCCGATTGGGCCACTCGTCTCTCGCAACGCTTTTGTGCTTTGCAGAAAATTGTTCCAACCATAGGCAAATGTCATTTGATCATCATTAACAGGTCTTCAGACTTTTATACCAATTTTATACCAACATTTAACATGTATTATAATACACTCAATTGAATAGCAGTTTTTTGAATTCAATTAACAATTGCACTTAGAGTTGGGCATATATAATGCTGTGGGCAATGCACTTGGTGTAATATGGCTCATATTAAGTGGCGGCATTAATGGCTTGCATTGAAATGGGATACACTTGCTGTTTCTTTGGTGTAGCGCACTTTGAATGGCCAGCTGGAAAGAAAGCAAGCTTCAGTACAAAGCAGCAAATTGAATGCGGAATGGAAAGTGAAAGGACTTAAGTGCGTTTCATTGCTCTTACACAAGAGCGAAGAGCGAAATAGTGCGATATGCCCTAAGCAGCTCTTTTCATCAAAGCCCACGGCAATAGATCATAAATGAAATACGACCAGATGGCAGGGCACAGCACAGGGAACTTTCACTGCTGCTGCTGCTGTTGTTGCTGTTGGCATTTACAATCGATACTTATAAAAAGCCATTAACAATTGACCGAAAATATGTTTCACTGCTTGGCGCTCTGATGTTGACAAAAGGCTAACAAGCCAATAACATCAACACGTGCCACAACTCATAAATTGGACTCAATAAATGCAAGGTTGCCAGCTGCCAAGCAGCTAGACGCCGCCAAATGTGGCACACAACAATCGACAGAAAAAAAAACAATGAAATTCAAATTGGTTACACACTGCCAACAATTCGATAGCTGCTGTGGCTGTTGCTGTTGCTGCTTTTGGCCACTTGGTGATTAATAGGCCACGCCACAGGCGTGTAGCTATAATAGTTACTAGCGTTGTTTTAATTTATCTACATTTAGCTAACATTACTTTCTCTGTATTCTTGTCCATATTTACAGAATACTTCTGCTGAGCCTGTTAAGTGCTGCACAGGCGCAGTATCATCAATTTGGGGCACAATTGCAGTCGCCTCATGGCTCGGACTGTGCCCTGCTGCTGGCCGGACCGGGTCGGTCCTCTGTCTATGACTACAATGTAAATTTGTTTCGCGGCACGCTGTAAGTACAAATAGAAAACGTTCAAGTGGCATTCTGGGGTACGCTTGCGAGCAAATATTTAAACGTTGACACCAAAACGGCAAAAAGCTTAACTGTCACTCATAAATCTTGGGCAGCGGCAACATGCATAGCCTGTCGATACTCTACACCTACGACAAACACGACGACTGTCGGCTTTAAGCTAATCATTAGTAGCGGCAGCAGTAGCAGCGACAACAACGTGGCGGCGTGTTGAAACTGTTTGTCTTGCCAAATGGGCAACAGGGGCAACTGTTGCACGCCTGGGAGCGACTCTTCAACTCGGGTCTAGGCCTGACGTACTTGCACCTGCATGGTGCACACAACACAGCGGGCCACCACAGCAAAGTCTACTGCAGTATCAGTTATTAAAGGCACGCTGAGTGATTGGATTGGCTGTGAGGCAGGACTAGCTCAGACCTGTCTAATCGAATGGCTACATTAGCAGTAGCTGCTAGTAGATGCCAAGCGGAATGCACTAGACGCCTATTTATTACTTTCACATATCTGCCAGATGTGCTACAATAACTGATGTTTTAAAAGGGGTACCTACATATAACATTTCAAGTCTAAAGCTTAAATATATTATCAGACTGTCTCATTCATTTGTATGGGCCTATGAATGCTTAAGCAGGAACGACTTCATATTATGTCTTCATAAGTCTATTACTCACATTTTCACAACCGTCAAGACTTGGTTTGATGGAATTGATTAGTAAAAAGCGTCCATACTTACTGCTCATATAGATTGCTTTGTACCTATTTAATATATATTTATCAAATTCAGCTGCGAAACCAAATTTAGAAATATGTTATTTATGCTAAAAAAAAGGTTTGAAATATTTCAGTTTTTGCAAAATTGAATTCAAACATAAGTTTGCTTCTTCTAGCTTGTGAATCTAAGTTACTAAAAAAAGCCAGTGGATTATGCTTTTGAAGGATATATGCAATTAATTTATTAAAAGAATATAAATTTGTTTATTACATGAAAAGCAGAATGATTTTAGTAGAATTATTTCAAGTAGCTTCAATAGTCGAATTGTTTCTTAGGGGGACTTCAAAAGCGTCAGGCAATCTCCTGTGTTCTTTTTGCATTCACCAACCTTATTAAGAACCCAATCTGAGTGAAAGTAAAGGTAGTTAGTAAATGATTGGGATTATTTATTTTATTTTTTACTTACTTTGACGTCTGACGCATATCTGTTTGTTCAGCTCGCACTTGTTGGCAAAGGTGCACTTGCTAATTAGCCGACCGCGTTTCCAGGTGGCACAAACGGGGTCCCTGATCCTGGTACATACAGTTGGGCATCTCGGACGAGTGGCGTAGACACTGGAAAGTGCGCAGACAGTAATGGCAAGCAGCAACAGAAGGGTCAGAGATTTCATGTTGGTAAAAGTAGATTGAAAGTTGAAGTACTTCTATAGCTTAAGTCGGTCCGACTGCAGCTTATATACAGTTCTACAGCTCATGTCGAATGCTTGATAAGACAATGATATCCATTCGATTCATTAACAAAACACAATATCGAACGAAACATATGTGACCTGCGCCATTTTGGCTATTGTTTTATTCAAATCTCTTGTCAACATGCTAATCTTGTATTGTCAGAATTAAATGCTACAATTGTGGGCCGCTGTTGTGTAGCCAAGTTATTGACCTCGACTTCGGCTGTAAGTGAGGACAGAGTCATGTGATGCGAACGCGTCTGCTTGACGGCACTTGACAGGCCGCCACAGATTTATTGGTACAAACCGCACAACAGCTGCAGCAAGCCAACAACAATGACGAAAAAATGAGCAATAACAGCTATACAAATAAATGTCGTTGCAACACTTATGCCTCCAAAAGCACCTGTTCCGCGGCACGGCAGCAGCTGCTTCTATTGATGGCTAGCTGCTGTTTGAAAACGATTTCGAAATGTGACTTTGAAAAAGAGTGCCAAGAGACAATGCCTGAACTCTGACCGTGCGCCACAAAAATTGCAGCTCTGCCACAGATAGTTACAATTTTAAATGTCGCACGATCGAGCCATAGCCAATGCAGATGGGGGTCAGCAGAGAGTTGAGCTAATTTGGGGTTGCTCGGCGCAAAACGTGACTCGGCTGCTATTTGGCTTTGCTTTGGCTATTGAACTTTGTTGCGGCCGGCAAAAATGCAGCTCCCAATTGCAGTCACAACAACCTACTTAAATGATAAATACAGGTTTCGCGACCCGGGGCACTTTCATTGCTGCCGCAGCTGCTGCTGCTCACACTGCAACTCCGATATAAAGTTTCCTCCTACATTTCTCCTCGGCACGTCTGTCTGCGTAAGCGTAGTAGTGGACGCGATCGTCTCGGTGCCCCAAAAATCTTACGCGTGCAAAGATAACTGATATTTGGTGATGGTGATGCAGATGCTGATGGTGTGCCTATCGTTTTACGACACGCTTTTGCAATTACTCACAACTCGCAATATTACGCATACGCCACGCCGGCTGGAGCAGCCAAATAGAGTTTCACTTTCAGCAGGAAGCATTCATTCGGGCACCTGCGAACGCGAATTCATTTCACAGTGCAACAAGAGGCACATTCATTGTACCGCAGCCACCCAATCAGGATAGCAAGTCCCAGCCGCAACGCCAGTCGACGGCGATTCCAGTGCGTGCCGCATGCAAGCAACTTTCTAGTTGGCCCAAAACTGTACCTCAGCCTGCCCGCCGGCTCAGTCCAATGCGCACATTGAACTTTCCATCAGCAATAAATTTTTAAATTAACTGCCGGACCAGTTAAGTGCCAGCCGCTATTTCGCATTTGACAAATTTTTCTCAAAAAAAAAGAAAAGAAAAACAATTCAAAATTGAAGCAGTGTTTGCTGAACAGACTAACTAAGCAAGATATATTGAAGCTCAGCTTTATAATAAATGCGTTAACAGGAGAGTATATTATGTAAATATTTGTTAGTTTATTGCCGTCTGTGCTGAAAATGCATTTACGCACTGAAAACTGGACCACAAGATAGAAATTTGTCTAGACTAGAATTGCAATCTCTTTCCCAAATCATATCAAATAAGTTCAACTCAGCTCATAACAGATTATTCAAGAGCTGTCAACAGGTTGAAAGAAGGCTTGGATAGCGAGGCTCTGAAGCTATATCTCTTTCCATGGTGCGTTGCATATCTTGGCTAAATATCATTAGACGCCTCAGTTGCAAATGGAGTATGTTGCGCACGAAATATGGATGCAAGTTCGCGAAGAATGTCGTCTATTGCTTAAATGGATTTTGCTTTGCGTGTCTGGCAATGTCTTGGGTGCTACGGCGTGTGTTGCATTTGTTGCTGTTGTTGTTTTTGTAATTATTTAATACTTACGCATTGTTAACATGTATCGTTGTCACCTGACACGCGTTTTACATGTCGCTCCATTTGAGGAAGTCGCAGTGCCCCCTTTTTAGGGGCCTTTTGCGAGCAACTCGCGAGACGAGAAATTTGCGTGTTTTGGCATTTAATTAACAAACCGGCTACAAACGCATACGCAAAACGCAAATGCAATGTTAAATGTTAAGTTAAGTTGTTACTGTTACTGTTACAGTTAGAGTTTAGCTTATTTATTTATGCCCCGAGATGCTGTATCGGCTGCTGCAGTGCAACGGGTGCAGTTTGTTTCCTGTTCGGCGAAACCCACTCCGAAATTGACTTGAGCTAGTCATATTCGGCGCCAATGGTTAGGCTAATGGCGCCGGGCTGCACAAATGTTTGATGATACCATCTGTTCGTATCGAGAACGACTGAAAAACAATCGACTGGTGTTCACACACACAGGCAAGACTATAATGCAAAGTAATCTTCACTTACTTATATCTCCCTGTTGCACGAGCACATCGAAGCGCTTGCATTGAAAGTAGCATTCGGGTGGCGGCACCAGCAGCCAGCGCTTGTTGCCTGCCAGCTGCGCCTGCCACGACGGCAGACGCACATTGTCAATCTGGCAAGAATTGAGGAATGCATCACATTTATGCTTATGCCTAAGACGTCCTTACTCACATGCATTTGGGCGCCCAGTCCCGCGGTGCCGATAAAAAACCAATCAACGGCATTGTTCTCCGAGCGCTCTGGCAGAAAATAGGGCCTGCCATAATGCCGACGGAACTCTTCGGCTGTTTCCGCATGACAGTTGCTCCAGCCGAAGTACCAAGGTGACTCGTCCGACTCCGAGTTGACGCGCGTCTGCGACATGTCCAAAGCCTCGTAAATATCCCGAAAGCCCGTCTTGTAGGGCAGGAACTGACAGTCGCGTATGCGCTGCTTGCGCTTAGCCTTGCCGTAGACATCCCGAAAGTACCAGTAATTAAAGAGCTAATCATAGTATGTGTGAGCCAAGAGGGCGTACTTCGTTTGTCTAACATAGCCAACTCACCGTTGAGGCTGTCCAGTTTTGCATGGCATCGCTCACTATGACGGGTGCGCCGCTGTATGCGTACTCCGCCTCGAATCGGGCTGGAGTAAGATTGCTAATGCGAGGCACGCTTTGAATATTCGCACAAAAATCACAGCGCTCAGGTGGCCGCAGCGCGTAGCGCAGAGGGCGTGGCAGTGTTAAAGCACAGCGCTATAAATATTTCTCGATTTTTATACGTAAATTATTTCAATGATTCTAAACATATGCAATCACCTGTCCCTGCAACTCCGCTAGGTAGTAATTCAAGAAATATATGGCCAAGACACAAATTAACAAAATTTTTGTCAACTTGAGCAGCTTTTTGCTTAATGCAGATGCTGAGCAGTACCTGTGCAGCAGCTGCTGCATTGTTGTAGTCAAATCAGTTGGGCGATGGGTCCACAATATGCGCCTCAACTGGCTGCGTGCTTGTTCCATGTTGCCTCGACCAAGGCACGTAGCCAACTGTGGCCGACATTTCCGTTTCCTGTTTGCCTTGCTACATCTTGCCTGCTGCTCTACTCGGTGGCCCGTCAATAACTCGATTATCAGACTAAGTGCAGACAGTGTGGGCGTGTGTGCTGCTGCTGCTGGTGGTGGTGGTGGTTGAGTATTGTGTGCGCCTGGTTAGCATGCGATAGCGACAAATTGCTTGATATTGGCAATAGCATTTCATAATCGAATTGTGTGTCCTTGCCTTTGTCATTGCAGAAATCCTTACAACAGTGGTGCGGGCACTTGCATCACCTACGATGCCATCAATGCGGCGTACGCAGATGCACGTAAGCGCATACGTAAGTATACATATTCATAGTACATATATATATAGATGTGTTTAAATGCATATCTGGTGCACTTTACAGGTGTGGCCGAGCCCAAGTCCGATTGGAAGCCAGAGGAGCTGGCCACCGTGGGCGAGCTACTGCTCGATATATCCATACAGCTGGCTCGCACGTAAGTAAATGTTACGGTAATAAATGCTAAACGCATTTGAAAGTTGCGCCTGGCACGCCCACAGCCCCAATAAACGATTGCCAAATAACGCATGACATGGCACTTAAGTCGTGCTCGTGCTAAAGCTGATGCTGGAGCCCGTCCAGACCGCCTGCAGTCATAAATATGTATGAGCGCAAAGCTGGAACTGAACTAAACTGAATTGGTGCTGCGCCTGGTCTCAAGGTTCTGCGGCTTTAGATGAATTTGAAAGTTTGGCACATGCAAATGCTAATTGCAATGCCAAATTTGCTGTCGTCGTCGCTGTCGGTGGCTTTGACTGATGGCCACTTGGCCACCTGTAGCCAGGGTGCCTAGCTCCATCGATGGGGCAACAACAATCTTCTTCAAACTGGCGCAACTGCATTTTTTCAACCTGCTTCCAAAAAAACTATGAAAATATGTTTGCCAGTTATTTGCTGTGATCGCTACGCGGGATGGCAGTCGCAGTGAGAGTGCTCGCAGCTGTCCCCCCGACAAGAAAACGAGCAGAAGCCAACTGAGGATGCAACAAAGTATTACCAGTTTTACGGTTGGCCAACTGTCGCTTGTGGGTAATCGTGTTGCCGAGTCAGTTGGTCACAGCAGCCGTTTTGCAGTTCCATTCACAGTCGTTGCCTGTGCTTTAACCCATTTGACTTTCTTTTTTGCTCACTCCCCCCGCACTTGGCTCATCTAACATGAATGCAAAGCTTGGCTTTGAGGATCAGCAGCTGCAGCAGTAGTTGTATAATCCTACGATTATTTTACAGTCCCGGCTGCTGACCAATTATTATCAGATATCAGCGTTTTATATGTGAAGTCACTTTTATTAGGATTAGAATGGAGATTTGAAGCAAGCACACGATGGTACTAAGACTGTCATAAATCAGTTTACTTCATATATTTTTCAATTGTTGCACAATCACTCCAAGGTGTGTTGAAATTTCAGCTCAAGCTGCTAACTTAATGAACGAAATGTACTGCTGAGTTTAAAGTCTTCGTTATTAGTCTTGGCTATAATTAGCATATTTTTAATTACCAACAACTGTGTTGGCTTTTGACTTATGTATATACCTTCTCAAGAAATAAAAATAAAATAACAGCAAAAAAAACCAAATTACAATAAATCGTCTCTGTTCAAGATCGGTTAGTTTGTAATGCTTTTTGGAAAGGTTTTCAACGCTCTGCTTAAGGTTTCCCTTTAACAACCTCAACTTCTGGCCATTTCCTCAGTTGGTCTAATTTATAGACCTTCAGTCTATTTAACTGCCAGCCCAATCGACTATGAAGCTGTTTTGTTTTTCACTTTATATCAGCTTGCACTATCTCTGCCAGGGGCAACAACAATAGCTTTGGCCTACCTTCAGCGCCCTTCCCAGTGCTCAGTTTGTTGCACTTTTTCTCACTTTCCCATGCACTTGAGGAAGTGTCGGACAGCAATTTATTTTGCAGCAGTCCCAGAGCTGCATTAGATAAACGATAAGCCACGTTCAGTTCACGGACCACAGAGCTCGCAGTCCGATTCAATAAAACGGCAACTGGCTTCAATTTGCCATTGATGTCGACGTCAAATCTCAAGTATCCACATCAGTGTCTGGCACGGTAAGCCGGGCCAAAAGCGCGTTAATTGCATGCCGCTTACGAACCGGGCTAATTCGATAATTTTGCAATTTTTTGACAAGATTGAAAAATAACAGCTCAAAGGAGAACCAAACGAGCTAAACAGCTGGCGCGACAGGAAAACGCCAAGTTGGGCGATATCCGCAGCTGCTGGCAGCCAATACAGATATAGTTAGATATAATTTGTCAATATTTAGCCATAGTTGGCAGGTAGCTAATTGGCTATTTTGTGTTGCAGCTATGGACTGTCCTATGAGGAAATCGAGAAGGGCCTGCCCACCATAGACACCTCGAAGACACTGATTCGAGAGGTCTGCCCGCCGTTCTTTGCGGGCGTCGAGTGCCGACCGGGCAAATATCGTCGCTTCGATGGCCTGTGCAATAATATTGAGCATCCCACCTGGGGCGCTGCCAATTCGCCATTTCAGCGCCTAATCGGTCCACTCTATGCGGATGGCATCAACGCGCCGCGCATTTCGGTAACCGGTCGCGACTTGCCCTACTCACGTGTGGTCTCGCGCACAATGCACCCAGACGATGGGTATCATGATCACGCAGGCACTGTTATGGTCATTGCCTGGGGCCAGTTCATGGATCACGACTTTACGCTGACTGGCACGCCTCTGGGTAGGTCGAGCAACTGTGCGAATTGAATAGTTGAATAGAACCCTTCACTCCGATTACAGATCCCATCAATCGCAACGATCCGGAGGAGTGCTGCAAGCGACCGCTGCACAAGAAGCATCCATATTGCAATGAGATACGCATTCCAGATGACGATTACTTCTATCGTCTCTTTAATGTCAAGTGTATTGATTTCGTGCGAGGCTTTCCATCGCCGAGACCCGGCTGTCGCTTGGGTGAGTTACGCCCAATAAAGCCAATTGATGATAGCGCATACTCATGCCTTGCACTGCTCTCTTAGGTTCCCGTCAGCAGTTCAATACCTTGACTGGCGTGATTGATGCCAACACTGTGTATGGCGTTAAGGAATCGTTTGCACGCAAGCTACGCACTGGCTACGGGGGACTGATGCGCATGAATCCCGTGTTCCAGGAGTATGGCTTGAAGGACTTGCTGCCACTCAAACTGGATATACCTGATGAGGGCTGCACGCGGCCCAACAAGAGCATGTACTGCTTTGAGGGCGGCGAGATCCGCGTTAATGAGCAGCTAGTGTTGACCTGCATGCACACCCTAATGGCCAGGGAGCACAATCGTCTGGCCACGGGCCTGGCTCATATTAACCACCACTGGGATGACGAGACGCTGTTCCAGGAGGCACGTCGCATCAACATTGCCATCGTCCAGCATGTCACATTTAATGAGTTCTTGCCCATTCTGCTGGGCAAAGAAGTGATGGAGAAGTTTGGCCTGGTGCTGCAGAAGGACGGCTACTGGGATGGCTATGATCCGAACGTCAATCCGGGCATCATTGACTCGTTCGCTGGCGCTGCCTTCCGGTTCGGTCACTCATTGTTGCCCACCGCAGTGGAGCGCTGGTCCAAGGCCCACAAATTCATAGCCTCGAAGCGTTTGTCAGACTTGATTCGACGTCCGTACGATTTGTATAGAGCTGGCGTGCTAGATGAATACTTTATGGGCCTGATGAATCAAGTGGCCCAAGCCATGGATGACTCTATCACCCAAGAGGTTACCAATCACCTTTTCAAAAAGGAGGGCGCACGCTTTGGCATGGACTTGGTGTCATTCAACATGCAGCGTGGACGCGAGTTTGGCATACCCGGCTACATGGAGTTCCGCAAATTCTGTGGCCTGCCCACCTCGAATACCTGGGATGAGATGTATGGCTCCATGCCAAATGAGACTGTACTCCGTTATGGCAGTATATTCGAGTGAGTAATTGAGGCTGCTTCTGGATTAGCTTGTTAATCATCTGCTATCATTACCTAGACATCCTGCTGACATTGATTTATGGTCTGGTGGCGTGTCGGAGAAGTCGCTGCCTGGCTCCATGCTGGGACCCACCTTTGCTTGTGTAATCGCCACACAGATGAGCTACTTGCGTCGGGGCGATCGTTTCTGGTATGAGCTGCCCAACCAGCCGTCCTCCTTTACGCCCGAACAGCTGCAGGAAATACGCAAGGCCAAACTCTCACGTTTGATTTGCGACAATACCGACTTAATTGATACCGTGCAAATCTATCCTATGGTTCTGCCAGATCATGAAATGTAAGTTAAGAACTGTCAGTCTGTCCTGATCTGATCTGACTTAACTTTGGCTTAATCCTCAGCAATCCACGCGTGCCCTGCAAGAGCGGCATTATACCCTCAATTGACCTGAGCAAGTGGGCTGACTTTGGCAGCCACGGCCTGGACCCATCTATCTACGTAAGTCAAGCCCATTGAATATAATGGAACAAGATATTGTACAATGTCTTCTTCTTACTTTTAGAACTACATCAACGAAATACCCGAAACGCTGCTCAACTTTAGAAAGTAAACATCATTTAATACAATTTCTATACACCATTTCGGAAGCACCTCTATACCTTTACCTTTGGCAAGAAGAAGCCCACATGTCTTCAGCATTTAGTTTCTGACTCTACTCTCCCACTCTTCATGTCTCCCACTACCGCTTAGTCTCTTTTACTAGTCTTCTCTCTTGCTGCAACGCCACTTTCGCTCTGATACATCCTAAAGCCAGTCAGTTGTAGCTTCACACTGCCATTTTCTATAGTGATTCCAACATTTCCATGCATGATCCATACATTTTTTGTATATATGTATTATTTTAAAATAGCAAAAGTACAGGGTAAGTGAAAAGAAAAGAAAGGAATAAGGTCGTCAATGACACGCAAGGCCTTTAGTAATGTTAAACCATACGAATATTTCGTTTGTAAGTTTTGTATATGCAAAATCTATGATTTAAATAAAATAAAAACAGAGTTAATATTTGTTCAAATTCTTGTATTTATTTTATGTTGGTTAAGACTATTCAGATAAGTATGTATATAAGTAGGTGCTATAGGAACTTCATTAGTTGCGTGTTGTGCGGCAAAGCCATGTTAGGACTTGCCGGAAACTCTAGGTAAGCATTGTAGTTAAAGCCATTAAATCGTATAGTAAGCGCCAGTTTCAGTGTCGTCGTTGTCGTCGTCGTGGTAGTCATCAGCCAAGATCGTGTTAAGCATCGCATCGCATCGCATCGCATTGACCCAAATACGCGTCTGAGTCACAGGCGATGAATAAACACACACACACACACATATCTATATATACTGTTAATATGATGTCTCCGCATCTTTGAAAGCTCTACTCGAGCGCGTTAAGAAACGGCGCTATGGAGCCAATATCTTCGCAGTCGGGGATCGCTTTGCCTTTAAACTTGAGACAGGACTCGGCGCAGGTCTGACCCTGGAAGTAGTCTCCAAACATTTTCTTGCACTGAGCGCAATTGTTGAGGCAAATCTGTATGAAATCAATGCCACCCATGGGATCTACAAGTCAAAAAGATCAATTAGCATAAGAGTGACTTATGCTATGCCCTTGCCTGCCACGACTTACCAAATCGCTTGCCATAGTGCCCGATCGAGGGCAACGCCTCTCCGTATTGCAGCAGACAAAGAGTAGCCAGCGCTATGCTAGCCAGCAGTAGGGTGTTCTTGCTGCACATGGCTGATAAAGGTCAAGATCTAAGTCAAGCAAATAGTTAAATATATATATATATATGAATATATACGATCAACAAGATTGTGGCTTCTGGTAGAGTACAGCGCTGCGACCGTTGCGCGCCAAGTGCGAAGTTGAAATAATTAAACGCACGTTTGTCTCTTCTTATTTTATAGGCGACCCAAACACAGATGCGAAAGCTCAACAACGTCAAGAAGTCTGAAACGTTGCCAGCAACGGCAATAACTACGACAGCACTCCAAGCCGGTCTCAGAGAGCCCGCTGTACGTCAGATATTCAAACAAACAGAAGAAAAAAATAGAAACTCAATACAGATTCCACAAACTGCCAATTTGTCTGATATTCTGTATGCAAATGTCTATCAGAAATTCTATTGTTTTTGTCAGGAGTCGCGTGGATCTTTGATAATATAAACTGGTCAATCGATTTAAATTTTAATAACAATGATTATAACAAGCAAAATATTTATCATCTCACAACGAAATATGTAAATGGGCCGTTTAGAAAACATCAATTTTAATGCTTGCGAGTTTCTAGATTGATTAAAAGTGATAAAAAAGTGCGTTGTAAGCTATGGGCAAGATAAACTAGAAAACAAAATACGTCGAAATGTTATCGATTCACGATCGTACGATACTTGGAGACCTGGGGTAGTTGGCACAAAAATCCCCACTCTCAAGAACAAATACTAACTTTGGGAAAGAAAGTTGAGAGAATCGCACGGAAAGTAACAGCAGGAAGTATCGTGGAAACGGGCAGAGCCCAACTGCAGCCGCTGTCATGTTTTAAAAACTGCATTTAATGCAAATTGCATGAGGCCAAGTTGTTGGTTGCCCAATCGGCGTTCGACCGTTCGCCCGATCGCTCATTAATTAATGACTGCAGCTTAAGGCATACAACGTAGAACAGAGTTGGGCGAGCCTGTCCAGATGGCAGCGGGTGTTGGCGCTGGCGCCAGCGTAGTCGACCCAGCCGGAGCAACCATAAAAATAAGTTACGCCCCAATAAAATGCGTGAAATTCTTTTGTTCCAACCGGACACGATGCCAGCGACTGGTTTAGCACTACAGCCAGCCAGCGGCTACACGCTGTCTGGCAGCTTGTCAACAGTAGCGTCACTTTCATTACCCTCGCAGAGGGTAAGTTAGCTATGCCAGAAGCTTTCTAACGCACAGAACTAGACAGAGCCAATTTCAAAGTGAAATGTTTCCTAAACTTCTTCTGCTAAAATTTATTTGCTCTAACCTCATGTATTTCTTGAATAAAGACAAATTGGTTGCATAAAACAGTTCAGATCAATCCAAAGCAAACCATGCTTTATGCAATATCAATCAATGTCGAACAATATAAAGCCTGCAAGAGTATTTACTCATCGATATTTCGAGCTTTGATTGAGCTTGTATTGTTTACACTTTATACAGTTTTAGCACAAACAAAATCAGACGTTAACTAGTCAGCTATGTAAATCGTGGGAAAATATCAAGTTATGCTAATTTTATGCAACATAGACAGTTTTGCTATTATTATTATTTCAAGCTAATTGCTAACACGCGCCGTACGTATGAGTAATGTGAATTGAGTGCTTAATGCAGCTGCTACGTCACAGACGTTTTGTGGGCGGGACACTTGACACTTGAGCTGGCAACAGCTTTTTGTCTAATTGCTCTGGTGACGTACACAGACTACACAGAGTACTCGGCACTCACCGGTAGTTGATCTTAAGATCTGGAAACGTTTTGTGAGCTCAAGCGCGTACGTGGGTTCGTTGCCAAATCGAAGATTCGGTGTTGGCGGCGTGTTTGTTTGCTGAAAACTGGTTCTACACCGACTGTTGCCGAAGTGCAGAGTTCTTATTGTATTTATATGTTGTCAGGGAAGCTTTGGGTTTCTACTCACAAATTAATCAATTTGTCTCAGCAACAAACACCTAATTGAATATATGCTCGCCAGTGAGCAAAAAACAAAACTTACTTCCGCTGGCAGCGGTGGCAGCCACTTTCTTGAGTGGTTTTCTCAGCGGTGCTCGGGCTGGATGTCGCTTATCCAGTTTAATTGCGTTTCTTTCGTGACAACTGTAGAAGTCGCTGCGGACTTAAAGCAGGAAATATTAGCAAAGCTTGTTCAACTTATAGGGTTTGCGTTTTCCTTGCCTATAAATCTCGCTCCATAAATCATGAATCTGTAATAATAGACTAAATAGTTGTCTATGTTAAATGTTTGATTCTTAACAATTGCAATTTATTTATACGATATTGCGACTTATATATCGCATGCATCTGGTAAGCAAAAGACTTTGGAGAGCATCCTTCACTTTTACATATGAACTGCTTTACACTGCTTGCTTTGTGTAGAACTTAAGCATTTTCCAGTTATTGAAATAATTATTTTTATTTGATAAAAAATAATTAATTGTTTGTTGAAAGTAATGATCTAAGTAATTATATATATAATATTTATTTAGTCAGTATAAAATAATAGAAGATATATAGACTAATATTGGATTTCAGCAGCAATTAAACGAATTATAATAAAAATTTGTAGCTTAATTTGTCCGTTGCAGTGACAAATTTAAATATACATTAAAATACTGCTTGATTAACGACTTCTGTGCACTGCTTGCTGACTACTTATTTTGATCAATGTGGCAGCACTGAGACGCAAGCTTGCAGAAATTTCCGGTAGCTGGCGCCACGCAATGCATTCTGTTATTTGTCATGAGTGCTGTTACTATAGTATATAGTAAGAATATTATTAAATTACCAACTGCGTAGGCAGCACATTATCTGTATACCAATCCGGGACTAGAGCTCGAATTATCGCTGTTATGTTTAGTTTAATCAAGTCATCTACCAAAAACTGTTAGAGTAAAAAATTATGATACTTATAGCACCGGTTACTTAAGTATTTCTAATAGGCAGTGATCTGATTTATTAAGTCTGATGGCCGCTTATAACGGTATCAAATAAAGGGGAGAATAAACCAAGTTTAGATGAAACTATTCCCCCAAACAGTCAATCAACTGCGCTTCAATACAAATCTCATTATTAAAGTGTTGGCCAAATTAAGTTTTTCCCGGGCGTACGTGTGCTGGGAAGTTAGATGATGCCGGATGCTGCTTGCCCTGTGGTTGATAGCCATTTGCTGTTGAAATTCCACAAAAGCCAAAAATTTTCTCCGCTGACCGGCATTTGTGAGTGTTTGTGTGTGTGTTTGTGTGTGAGTGATTGTGTGTGTGAGTGTGGAACCACATTGAAAGTATTGCCGCACAACAAACATCAGCGGCTACGATCTGCAGAAACTTTTATTAGTGGCTGGCTGCAGCACTCGCGGCTCAGCGGGTAAATCAGCAAAAGATTTTCTTCAATGCAGTGCAATTTTATTGCATTTTCTTCCCTTTTTTCTTGTTTTTTTTTCGTTTAATTTTATTTTGCAACAGCAACTTTTATTTTAAGGCAAGGCAAGGCAAGGTTTTCTGCGTTTATTTATGAGCTTTGCTCGCAATCGATGCGTTCATGTGCGCCAATACATTGCAACAGTTTTTCTTATCCTTCCTCATATGCTCGACGAAGGCTCCACATTTCAGTCGACTCGGTCACGTAAGCATTAAATTTTGAAGCAGACAATACGTTCATTGTCCCAGTGATTTGAGCTTAAAGATATATTGGCAGCGAGCAGCGTTTCGAGAACATGACAATGGCCCAATGAAGCCTATTTGTAGCCTGGCTGCAAACTTTTACAATGCGAACAAAAGTTTATTTAAATGTTCATAATCCCTGCACTCGGGAGCCAGTCACGCAGAAGGGCAGGCTAGCAAAGGGGACTAATGAGATACTTAATATAGTTTCAGTTTTTAATAATAGACAGGTGCATGCATCGGTGGCACATACACAATTTTGGCCATGCCAAAAATAAAATGA